CATGTGGGATCTTCCCGGACCAGGGCTCGAACCCGTGTCCTCTGCATTGGCAGGCGGATTCTTAACCATTGCGCCACCAGGGAAGCCCCGTACCACATCTTCTTTATCCATTATTCCTTTGATATTTAGGTTGCTTCCATGCCTTGGCTCTTGTAAACAGTGCTTCAGTGAACACTGGGGTGCATGTATCCCTTCGGACCGTGTTTTTCTCTGGATATATCCCCAGGAGTGGGATTGCAGTGTCATATAAAGAAATTTTTTTTTTTTTTTTTTTAAGGGACCGGAGGACCGGGAGCGGGAGAGCGCTTCGGCTTTGAAGGCTGGCGGAAGGGCTCCCCCGACGGTGGCGCTGGAGGGAAAAGCGTGTAGTCAGTTTCATTAGGCACTATTTGAACCTTGCAACGTGTGGTAATTTCTGGGGCAAGCTGAAGAGGGGGGATTATGTAGGAGGGATACAAGGAAATTAGCGAACGGTTAATTTAACTCGTTTTCTGCTAGACTTTTCGATACATTCCTAATTGACTGAGGGGCAGGTGAAGCTCCCGCCCCATGCAGGCTCATTCACGGTGGGAATAAATGGTTCTTTTTCAACTCACACTGCTCACAATATATCATCAGGGAAAAGACATGCAATGAATATGTTGATTTTTTTATTATTATTAATGGACTTACACCCTGCCACGCAGGTGTGAGGGTAAAAACCTATACTGCAATGAGATAAGATTAACAATGGAATTAGAATTTTATTAGCTTTATATGTCACATAGACCTGGATCCGAACTGTCAAAACAAGCAACAAGAAAAGATATTCTGAAGGCAGCCCTGCCACTCAACCAGGAGAAATGGAACAGCGTCGATCCAAATCACGATCAGCTCCAGTTCCTTCAGTACCTCCCTTGGGCCTTCTGCCGGAGGCAAGAGGGGGGAGGGCCTTGCTTGGGTGACCGCGTCGGTTCCCGACCCGCAGGTAGTAGCTGAAAACACCACTTGAGCTCAGAGGCCCGGCCTAGAGCAGGCCCCAGCCCAGGGTAGGGGGGCCGTGATGATCCGAGGCTGCCGAGAGGTCAGCGGAGGGGCCGGGCCACCGCGGCCTGCGGGCCTCAGGCTTCGCATCCTCTAAATCAGCTGCAGGTGCTGGCTGCGACCCGAGGGAATGGAGAAGAGTCGGAATGCGGGACTGGAGGTGGAGTGGGGCGTCCCTTGAAAACCGCATTGAGTTTTGTTAGCCGGGGGCCACTGCTACCTGGGTCTCGCAGGCGCAGAGGTGCCCTATGCAAATGGTTCACTATTAGGCGAGAAAGAAATACTTCAAATGGCCCTTTGTAACCTTCTATAGAAAATCGAGGTACTCTGCATGACAAAGCACAATTAAGCTTTCTATTCAGGAGTTCTGCAGCTGGTAGCCCATTGGGAAAGTGGGAGGAAACGCGAATATATTAATAGTGTGGCAAAAGTTTTTTGTGTGCGTGTCCTTTTCTGGGTCGGGGCTGGGGAGGGGCGGTGGGTGGACCCAGAGGGGAAGGAAGCTCCGCCTTGGATCCTTGCCACCTGTACAACCTCGTCTCTGCCCACGTGGAGAGCCCTGCTTGTCTGGCAGCCCGGACATTCTGCATGGTCTCGGAGACCCCCGCGAGCAGACCAGGGCTGGGTGGACCCTGCAGGCACCAGCGCCTGGACGGGACGGGACGCCTGCCACAGCCTAGCCTCGTCGTCCCCGGAAAGCTGAGCTGAGACCCGGCGCCCGGCTGTTCTTGGTCCCCCGCGCAGGAGGGAGGCTCCCAGACCCGGTGCTTCGCCCAGACGTCAGGGTGGGTGGTGCACCCGGGAGCACAGCAGGGGGATGTTGGCGCTGGGAAAAAGACATGGGAAGAGCAGAGCCGGATTTTCTGTTCAGCTCTAATTTTCTCCCATAGTTGAGGTTCACTTCCTAATCGTTCACTTTTACAGACCTCGAGGAGAATTTCTTGCTTCTTAGTAAAGAAGGGCTCTTAACCAACTGTGCTGGTTATTCTCCATATGCCGGTCTAGATCCATCTCCACCTTCCTCTGGCCTGGTGGTTGCCAGAAGACACTGGCCACTGTGGATTGTACCACATCTTCTATTAACTGCATCACCTGCAGTCTCTTGCCTCTGGCTTCCATTTGGGTTTGGTGAATGAGTGGCACTGCAAATAACCAAACAACCTGATGAGAGAATCTGAGCTACACTGATTGTTTCTGGGGATGTTGCATTGTCCCAGTTCTGGCAGTTGCTGCTCCTTTCCAGAAATTCCCTCTCTCTCTAAGACCCTCTTTTCCAAGCCTCCAGCTCTCAGTCAGGCTCCTCCTGCACCTTCATGGAAAAAGGTGAAAATGCCTTCTGGCTTCTACTAGTCCCCTCTACTAGTCCCATCAAATTCTTGTTGGTTCTCTCAGCCCGGCACACATCTCTGCAAGTAGTCATTTTGTCGAAAACTTTCTTTAAAAATCCCCACTCAGGGGCTTCCCTGGTGGCGCAGTGGTTGAGAGTCCTCCTGCTGATGCAGGGGACACGGGTTTGTGCCCCGGTCCAGGAAGATCCCACATGCCGCGGAGCGGCTGGGCCTGTGAGCCATGGCCACTGAGCCTGCACATCCGGAGCCTGTGCTCCGCAATGGGAGAGGCCACATCAGTGAGAGGCCCGCATAAAAAAAAAAAAAAAAAAAAAAATCCCTGCTCAGATCAGTTGCCGAATGGCTGACCAGCCATGTTATGCTTGAGTCAGTCTCTTCTATAACAGTCAGGTCAATTGTCTCCTCACTTTTGCTGGGATGTCTCCCATGAGAGAAGTTGTCCCAGCCCATTCCATTTTCAACAGCTCTGACCACTAGGAATACTTATTTGTGTTATATCTTCCTTTGTAATTTCTATCCATGAGTTCTACCTAGTTCTTTCCTCATGGACTTCTAGGTGTCTGCCTTCTTCCCTGTTCTCAACTGTGATGTCCTTGATGACAGCAACTGCATCTTTCATCTCTGCATCCTCAGCATTCATCACAATGCCTAGTACATAGTAGATGCCCAGTAAATACTAGCTAGATCAATGCATCATTCTGCTTCCAAGACTCCACCAGTTGCCTCAAACATGGAGGCTAGAAACAACTATATTTCATTGTAGCTGTATATAAATATATGTAATAAACATATAGTCCCTGGTGGCACAGTGGTGAAGAATCCACCTGCCAACGCAGGGGACACGGGTTCGAGCCCTGGTCCGGGAAGATCCCACATGCTGCAGAGCAGCTAAGCCTGTGCGCCACAACTACTGAGCATGCGAGCCACAACTACTGAGTCGATGTGCCACAACTACTGAAGCCTGCACGCCTAGAGCCCATGCTCCGCAGAAAGAGAAGCCACCACAATGAGAAGCCCGCGCACCACAATGAAGAGTAGCCCCCGCTCGCTGCAACTAGAGAAAGCCCGCATGCAGCAACAAAGACCCAATGCAGCCAAAAATGAATAATAAATAAATAAATAAATTTATTTATTTTTTAAAAAAGAAGACTGTAGGAGGAGCGATTTTAGTATATATTGTTTCAGATGACAATTACACATCAAAGTGGGGATATCATGAAGGCAATTGAAAAAATAATTCTGAAGTGAGAGCAAGCCTCGAGAAGTAAATAAAAGAGTCATGAATGTAACGATGGTATTAAAATCATGTGACAAGGTGAGTGCATAAGGGAGTGGTACATAGTAAAAGGGGAAGGAACCCAAGGACTTAGCACTGGAGAACTCTAAAATTTAAAAGCATTGAAAACAAGTCTCGGAGATGAGAAAGAATGAACACAGAGGAAAACAATGAGGTGAGTAGTATGACTGACCCAGCATATGGCCTGGAGAGAATTTCCTGAACTCAGGGAGGGTAACCCAAGCAAAGGCCAGCAGTCTCCCTGAGTTGAGGAGACAGAATTGAGAAGTAGAGGAAATCAAGGTGCCTAGAATTCACAGGACACAGTACGTATTCAATAGCAAACTGCTCAGAAAGAAAGCTCTAGAAATCTACAGAGGTTTCCCCTCTAGTTTTCAGTACTTACACATGAAGAACCCACCTGGGGCTAGAGAAAGAACACCACAAAGAAGCAGGCTGAAAAATTTATGACCTCACGCATGCCTGGTAAGACTTTGTGTCCTCTCTGGCCAGAAAGAAAAGACCTCCTAACATACACGGGGCTTTTCATTCAAATAGACTACTCAGAAAGGTATTGCCTCAGTAGTAGAGCAAAATTAGCTCTAAAGATTACTCAGGTCCCACCTAACAAAGCTTAAAAGCAAGCTTCAAAAGGATCAAACTGTTTCCAAGTAACCTAACTGCATCCAAAACAGCTCAAAAATATTTAAAGGAATTAAAAAAAAAACCCTAGCCTCCTAGAAGGTATAATTCATAATAATAAATTATGAGGTATGCAATCAAAACACACCGGGCATGAAAAGAAGCAGCAAAGTATGACAATGAGAAGAAAAATCAATCAATATAAAGACACAGAAATGACACATATAGTAGAATTCTGACAAAGACTTTCAAACAATTATTATATTTTTAAATCCCCTCCATTTATTCATGAAGGCAGAGGAAAGTATGAACATAATAAGGAGAGATCTGCAACTTATTTTAAAAAAAAAAAGATCTGAATCAATTAAGAAATACAGTGTGTGAGATGAAAAACACCAGATGTGATTAACGACAGACACTGCAAATAAAAGATTAGTGACCTTACATGATGCAGAGCAACTAAGCCCATGAGCCACAACTACTGATCCTGTGCTCTAGAGCCCGCGAGCCACAACTACTGAGCCCGCATGCCACAACTACTGAAGCCCCGCACCTAGAGCCCATGCTCTGCAACAAGAGAAGCCATCACAATGAGAAGCCCATGCACCACAACGAATAGTCCCCGCTTGACACAACTAGAGAAAGCCCATGCACAGCAACAGAGACCCAACACAGCCAAAGATGAAAATTTTAAAAATTAAAAAAGAGTTTGCATGCCACAACTAAGACCCAGCGCAACCCAGTAAATAAATAAATATTTAAAAAAAAGATTAGTGACCTTAAAGACATAGCCATATAAACTATCCAAAACAAAATATAGTGAGATAAGAGACTGAAAAGAAAAGAATAGAGCATCAGTGAGCTGTAACACAACATTGAGTGACCTATACACACATGTTCCTGGAGTTCCAGAAGGAGAAGAAAGACAGATGAAGGGACAGAGCAATCACTGCCAATTTTTTTTCAAATTTGATGTAAACTATAAACCTACATATCCAAGGAGTTCAGCAAACTCCAAACAGCAGAAACATGTGCCCCAAGGCACATCATAATTATAATGATAAGAAGAAAATCTTAAA